AAGGTTTTAGCCGTAGCTCGTTTCTTATTAAAAGTTTATGAACAGTGTTATCAGGATGTTCTCAGGATAATTCTCTTTATAGCATTGCTCATTTACAATATCTATGAAAGATAAAGTCATTAAGAGACGGGGGGAGGGTCGTAGGGGTAAATACTTACCCTATCATTTATTACGTTATTCTCTTAAACTTTTTCTGAAAAAAATAAATTATATTTAACATATCTATAATTCCTGATATTGTTAAAATAATGATTTATGGACAAATACTTTATATCAGTTTTTTATGATGTGTATAATTAAATATATAATAATAAAATTAATATTAATTTGTGATGTAGATCAACGACTTCGTGAAAAGTAAATTCAAAGAAAAAGTACCTGAAAATATTCAACGTGTAATGGAACGCCAAAAATCGGAATTGGCGAATGTACTTAACAAATTTTCATCATTTATAATAAAAGAAAATAAATCTATAGAAGAAGCATAATCAATTAGAAGAAAATAATTACAGTATAGATATGTATATGTATCTACGTGTATTTTTAATATTAGTTTTTAAGCTTATCAGAAAGAGTCCCTTATCTCTCTTTTCAACTTACAATAAGTTAAGATATTATTTTATACCAATATCGTCTATGTATACCTATATAACATAAATATAATCTTTCCAAAGGTTTTTGAAAATTTCCTGAGACATTATCAAGCATTATTTAACAAAATAAAAGGTAATATGTTTCGTCATTCGATTTTCATTCTTAAAGTTTTATTGCGACTTGTGGTACAGAAACATTATCATAATATGACGTATACAATCTTTTGGTTAATGTATAAAGTAACCAAGTGATGGCTCGTATATAGCTCCATATTATTGTTTTTTTTAAATTCATTTTTATAACGTTAACTCATCTGTGAAACTGTTGTACCGTACATAATATATTTTGTCTTTATTTTGCTCTCATTCAATATAATTTAATTTTAATCGTGCCTTTATATTCCTGTACAGGGTGACTGTCATCTTGACGTCAAGCAGACGTCAAAACATATGGGTGACGACAAATAACTAAAAGTAGAACAACCTGTACACGCCATGAGTTCGAATATGTCCTACCAATTTGTCCCATTCCTTTCGTGTCAACATTAGCCCCCCCAAAGGCAATTAAAGTTTTTCCGGATCATATATATAAAGCATGATATAAAAATATATTAATAATAAAAGAAATAAAACCGTGATAAAATACACCAGATAAACAATCAAATTAAAATAAATGCTATTTACGGTTTGAGCTTAGATATATTTATAGATCTTTAGTTTTTTTTCTCGTAAGAAGGAAAAAACGGTTCAACCCGTACTACAGGCCCGGTAGCTGGGGATAGAAATTGCACTCACTAAAAAAACCCCCCTTCGGATGTCACCTCGGATTACATTGAATGTCCGGAAACCGCGTGAACATGACAACCGCGGAGCATTGGAGCAAGATTATTGGCGAGTGGGGGGTGTTTTTGTGTATAATTTCCCATACAACTTTTGTCCAAAACATTTTTCCATATCTTTCATATTTTTTCGAGATATTTGATTGCGTCAATTAAAATGACTCACTCTATATTCTCAGTAGTATACGAGAATTTACGAAAAATAATGTACTAATGTGAGATATTACAAGTACGTCCTGAGAATTTACAAAAAATAATATAGGTACTACTGTGAAATATTACAAGTACGTCCTGAGAATTTATGAGAAATAATATCCTACTAGAGATGTTATAGAAATGTTTTAAGTATGTTATATACGGTACGTATATTTACAGTACGAGTACAGAACATTCGAATGATATCATGTGCTGTACGTGATGTCGCAGATCAGGGTACCCAGGATAGGTCCCTAAGGAACAACATTACACACCTCTCTGGACACCATTTCCATCCCTGGTACTATATTTCAAAACGCAATTCACTACATGGCAGGTACATATTCACAATCCGACGGATTTATTCCGGGCACTTTTCTGCTTCTTAACATCTTCCTAATATTAAATAAACTTTGGTGTAAAACTTTAATTTTTTTTCACTACGTGTAATAAAGCTAAAGATCGCTTAATTTATACATTACTTTATATTCTTCCGTGCATTTAAAAATTATAATGTGTGACATAATTCATCGTTTCATAATAGGTCAATCATGTAAATAGTAAATTATTTATGCGTTAGACATGTTTGAAATAATAATGGATGACTGTTACGTCATACAACATTCGATCGTCATGCCCAATACGAGGTATTCACTGAATGTTATAAATTGAAGTCCAGGAGCCATTTATCTTCATAAGTAGAAACGCTTTGCTATCGAGTAGTAAGACCTAGCCGCTGCAACGTTTCGCGGCTTAATTTCGACTATTATATCTGCGCAAAATATAGAACAGAAAGGTAATATTCATTGTATATAATTACAACAATGAGAAACTGATTGCAACGCGAGAATTATCTCGTTGACATTTCGCCAGGCTCTCGATAATTATCACGAATTTAGATTCAAATATACATTCTTGATATATATAAAACCGTGACATATTATCTACACTCGCGTTTTTAAACACAAGATTTTTTACAACATATTTAATACCGTAATATAGTACATATAACTAAAAAAACAAATCTTATTGTTTATCAAGACCCATCAGATTAAATAAACAAAACTATAACATATCTTAGGTAGATGAGACCGGGGCGAAGTCGTCACTATTTTTTCGGTGCCGATTTTTAACAGCAAAACAAATAATTTTAGTAAATTGTGGTATACCGTTGTAAAGAGTAAACCCTTGGCTACAAAATTTATAAGGTCATTTTTTGTCTACATCGCTTTGTGCAACTGGTATAGAGTAAAAACGACAAAGGTGCTAAAATTGAAATGTCAAAATTGTCAGGGCGGAGTCGTCACTCCATTCTCGGACTGAATTTTAAATGAAAATTTATAATTCCGATCATGAAAAATGATAGGATAGATTTTATTATTTTTTAATAGAAAAATAGAAACATTAATTAAAAACGCGATGGCGGAAAATAATTACAAGAAAAGCGCGCACACTTATATATGTTCCCTACGCTCGCACAAAATGCACTGTTTCTCGTCAGCTCTATTCTGTCATCTCTGAGCACACACAACACATATTATCCAAGTCCTCGCCGAAATCCGACCACTGCTACTTCTTTGACTTTGATTTTCGCCCGAAGCCTCCATGATATGGCTTGGTGACGACTTCACCCCGGACACAGATTTTAAGTTTGATCGCTCATGAAATATTAGAAATCAACAAAAATAAAAAAAAATTTACTGGATTCGGGTTCAGCATGCATTACTCTTCAAAATCATTTATCTCAAGATTCGGAGAAAAAATATTAGTTAAAATATTTAAAATTTTTGACGCGCAAAAAATTTTACTTTTAACCTCGAAAATTACGTTCTTAATGAAAATCACAACATGGCATATAGTCTCACTAAACTCCGTTGGTTACATGGGCATCATAAGTAGTTTACAATATTAATGACAAGTTCAAACAACATACAAATTTCGAGATAATAGTAATGACATAGATTAAAAATCATTTTTTTATTTAAAATTTTTTATATACATCTGTTTTCGTTAGAAACATTGAGGTATTTCTGTGTGCTTCTCTTTATTTAGCAACTATGTTGATTATTCATAAACTATGTTAAGGTGCACAAAATTTATATCGACGATATTTATACAAACCTTCTCCTCGAGAATCAATTCATTAAAATATGAAGATTGGAAACAAACAAGAAAAAATATTAGAATACGTTGTAAATGCTCTCTTCCTTTTCTTATAAAGTACGGTTCATATACAGGTATTTGAAATGAGGGTTGGTATGGGGTTTCTGAAAGTATTAGTAAATGTCGGCCTAATATTCACCACTGTAACGGCTCTCCCTGTTGACGGAGATTCAGAAAATGACTTGAACGCAACAGTCAATTACCGTTTACCAGACAACGTAGTGCCGGTGCACTACGACATCGCATTGATACCGTATATTGAAGAGGATAATTTTACCTTCGATGGTATATCCCATATCATCATCGACATCCGTCGTGCAACGCGAGACTTAAGTTTGCACGCATTGGAATTGGCGATAAATGAAACGGCGACGTCATTGATCAGCAGTGATAATGTCACCTACGCACCGACCGCGCATAATTATGACGATGAAACAGAAATCTTAACACTTCACTTTGACGATGAATTACCGCTTGGAATTTATAGTTTAAATATACAATTCGTCGGTACTCTAAACAACGATTTGCATGGTTTCTTCAGAACATCGTACATCAATGAGAATGGAGATAAAGTGTGAGTATATATACTATATATTAAAGTTTCAAAGTTATCAATTTTGCTTTCTCATAGAACAAACTTTGTTTTCGTACAAATTTTTTTTAGTTTTCGATGCCAATGTGTTCAAAACGTTCTAGAACGTCGTAAAATCGCATTTCTTTAAAATGGCCATGTGTGCGTGCGTGTGAGCGTGTGTCCATGTGTGCGTGTGTGCGTGTGTGCAGTTTATATTCTTCTAAAATTTTACATATGTTCTATGTTCCCTTCGTGTTTATGGAACATTAATTGCATTACGTGATTCTGCAGCCTAAAACTATTAAAAAAACATGCAAATTTCACTTACCGGCTGAAGGCAAAAATCTACGACTTTTACACATCCTCCTTTTACATTTTTTATAAATATTTTTTTTATAACATCCTAGGTGGGGTTTTCCAACATTGGAAACATAAGCACATATCGGCTCGATGTTCTTTCAACATTTGAACTCCCAAAGCCAATATCGGTTTGACATTGTCCTGATTGTAAAATCCCACCTGTGCTACACTGAGCTGACCCTCTACCAATTCTTTCTCTCCTAGAAAATGTTAAATTGTTATTCAAATCAAGTTTCTTTGTTTATTGTTCATTTCCTGTGAAGATTATATAAAAATAAAAAATTGTGCAATTTAAAAACTTACACATTGCTTTCTCATCATTTTTCTCGCTAATAAGGTTTTCTCTATAAAGACACCAATCTATTATATGCTAATAATTTTGTTAATTCATAGAGAAAGATTTATAAGCACAAAAAATGATGAAGTAAGTTTCTAATTTGCAAAATTTTTTTATGTATTATCTTCGTAATTCGTAATAACACTTATTATAATCTTCTTGTTAGTTTTGGAATTACCGTAAGATGCCAAAATCTTAAATTCGTATAAGATTTAATATAAAGCATGTATTAGACCTCAGATTTATAATTGCATGAATATAATATTTTAAAAATGGTTTATTTTTTTATATAATTAAACATTTTTTCTGTAAATATGTTATTATATTTTACATTTTTATTTAAATTTATAATTATACATTTTCTTGCATTTTTTGAACAGAATGTTATCTAAAATATTTTTCTAAATATATATAACTATGTAATATAAATTTTATAAGTTGTAAACAAAAAATTAATTTTTAAAAACATTCTATTATGTCAAATTAAATTTATTCCAATCATTCCAATAAAATCCGGTTATCAAATTTCTGAAAAATCATATGCATTTATTGCCCTAAAATTTCGTTCGAAAGCATCGAGTGACACTTGTCGCGGCCAGATTGCAAGGAATGTATATAGTTCAAATATGATTTATAAACCGCATTTACACGTTCTCGAAACATTTCGCTCGTTTTAACAGTATCTGATGAATTTATCCGTTATCGAAAGCGTGTTACATTGAAATGTGATAGGTGGTTGGCCGCAACGCATTTCGAGCCAACTTGGGCGCGACGAGCGTTCCCATGTTGGGACGAGCCGGCATTAAAAGCCACCTTCAACATCTCCATAAAACATCGTCGAAACTACACAGCTGTGTCAAATATGCCGATACGGGATCAATCGAACGACGAAGATAATATGATGTGGACACACTTTGACACGACCCCCGTCATGTCCACCTATCTCGTAGCATTTGTAGTGTCCGATTTTGTTCGTGTTCCTAACGCGGATGGAACGCTCAACATGTGGTGCAGATCAGCACTGGCTCCGCACTCAAAATTTGCGCAGGAGGTTGCTCAAAAGGCTA